AAAAATGACTTCAGTTTATTTCTCCTGCTTCAGTTTGCAGGCCCAGTGTCCAAAGGACTCCATGCCAGGAGAATCTTTTGGAGTCTGCTACATGAATGAATGGCTGGGAAGCCTATGACTAATGCCCAATCTCTTCCTCCTGCTCCACCCAAAATGTTTTGCAATATATATACTAAAATCAGCACATTCAAGGGTTTTTTTTAACTCACAAAACCGAAATCTCATTACTGGGCGGCCTTTTAGCAACTTCCAATCACAAGATATTCCCCAGTTGTAATAAGAAATGCACACAAACCATTAGTGCAGCCACCAACCCAGCACCACCACCATGCTCATCACCAAATCACGTCCTCAAGTGCCACACCCACACGTTTTTTGAACACTTCCAGGGATGGAGACTCCACCACTGCCCTGGGCAGGCTCTGTCCCTGTGCAGAAAACAGGCAGTAGTTTACACAGTGGCTTATTTGACGTGGCAGCAGCACCCAGTGCCCGATTCCAGCCACTAAGAGCAGTGCTGAGGGCTCTGTGGCCCCACTTGCACAGACTTGCAAGGCTTCTGCTCCACTAAAAGCAGAGGAAATGCTCTGCAAACAGCTCAGCATGGGTGGTTCTCCATAAATTCATCATCTTTGATACTTCCCCGAAATGATCAGCTCCTCCTTCACAGGAACTGCTGTTATAAAAGGTGTGCAGCTACTAAATGGGACATTAAATGTGATGTTTCAGCTGCACAAACACTAATTGGATAAATATCTTTCAAAATCATGCACAAGTAATTTCTAGTGGTAGGGAAGGAGCAATTAAGCTGCTCCAAGGCAAGTCCATCCCAGTGGATATACTTGAAGCCTGCCAGCTTTCTGGACTTGCACTCCCACAGCACATGATCCAAAATGCAAATGATTTTATTGCTCTAAAATCAAGCCAAACTTCAAATCCCATGACTGGAAGGTTACACAAGAGCCGTGCAGCTTTAATCCCTGCTCATGAGAAGCCGTTTGAAACTCTGAGCTTACAGAATAACGTGGTTTTCCACAAAACTTGTGTGAGTGCTTCTGGACAGCGAGAGTGCCACGAGGTGGGCATCCCTTTGGGGACACTGGCAGCTCCCAGGTGGCACTGTCACCTGGATGCAGCCACCCCACCTTCTCCCACCATGGGAGCATCACTGCCAAACGACCCATAAAATCATAAACCACCAAACTGGAATCATATCCAGACAGGGAGAAAGGGAAGGTGAAGATTTATCCCAGCAAAATGGACAGTTCACAGCTGCTGTTTGCTGTTCTGCTCTGGTTGAACTAGTGGGTATTCCCATTGCTCTAAGTGGGAATTCTGTCCCGAAATACAGACACAAAGACCCTCTACCCACACTTCATGAGAGTGTATGTACAAGTGGATGTCTGGTGTACCATAAACATCTCCTTTCTTTGTGAGAACAAGCTGCACAAGCAACTTACTTGAGTTAAAAGTGAACACTAAGGACGTAAAGGTCAGGGCAGGCTTTGTTTTCACTTATCACCACAATTTCCCTTAGAAAAAAGTCAGCGTGGGAGGCAGAAGTCATTGCAAACCCAAGGATGAAGGTGTCAGCTCCGTGATGTGACCTTGGATAAGATTTGCTCAAATCAGGTCACTCCATTCACATGCAGGAGCAGCTCTCAGAGGAAGCAACTTCTGTCTCTACCAGCTTTGAACTCAACCTCACACCTCCCCGAGACGTCGCTCACCAACGAAGCCAAACATGAGCCACACCCCGCAGCGGAGCAGCGGCTCTCCGGGGAGGGGACACCCCAAACCTGCCCCTTTGAAGCCATTACCTGCAGAGCGGAGGGGTCGAGGCCGAAGCTGAACTTCTCCCAGGGCCCAGTGCTGTCGGGGGCCTTGGCCAGCTCCACAACCACGTTGTGGGCAGAGACGCTGACTCCGGTCTCGGGGGACAGCAGCCTGTTTGCGGGAGGGAACTGCAGGAACAGGGCAAAGGCACCGCTGTCAGTGGAGAAGCGCAGGCTGTAGTGGTGGGTGCCCACGTCCCCGCAGAGGCTCTGGGGATGGATGCCGGGCACTGTCAGGAGCAGGGTGAGGGACGCCTCGTCCTGCCGGGCCTGGAAGGGAGGGCACGTGGCGCCCATCCCGGCGGGGCTGTGCTCTGCGGCCGGCGGGGGGATCGGAGGGGCGTCCTCGGCGGGCACGGCCGGCTCGGGGCTGGCGATGGGGGGAGCGGCGCCGGAGCGTGGTGGTGGGCTGGGGGGCTCAGTGGGTGATTCAGCGGGTGGGTCAGGGGGTGGTTCGGCGAGGGGCTCGGCAGGTGGTTTTTGGGGTTCAGCGAGTGGATCAGTGGGGGATTCAGTAGGTGGTTCAGTGAGGGGTTCTGCGGGTGGTTCAGCAGGTTCAGCGAGGAGTTCAGCGGGAGGATCAGCGGGTTGTTCAGCGGGGGGTTCAGAGCGGAGTTCAGCGGGGGGCTCAGCGGGTGGACCACAAAGTGGTCCAGCAGGGCGTTCGGCGAGGGGCTCGGCGAGGGGCTCGGTAAGGGGTTCAGCAGGTAGATCTGCGGGGAGTTCAGCGGGTTGTTCTGCGGGTGATTCAGAGGGGAGTTCCGAGAGGGGTTCAGCGAGGGGCTCGGTGGGTGGTTCAGGGGATGGTTCAGCGGGGGGCTCGGTGGGCGGATCCCCGGGTGGATCCCCGGTCTCCCCGCCGCCCCACGTGCTGCGGGCCGCGCCGCCGGGGCCCGGGGGAGGAGCGGCCCCGCCGCCCGGCCCAGCCTCCGGCGGCTCGCCCAGCAGTTCGCCCGGCCCCTGCGCCGCGGGCTCGGCCCCTTCCCGCCGCTGCCCGGCGGGGGCCGGCGGCACTACGGGCAGCGTGACCTGCAGCTGCCGCTGGGCCCGGTTGAAGGCGGCCCGGCCGCCGCTCTCGTCCACGGCGTAGGGCAGGCGCAGGCGCAGGCGGTAGGCGGGACGGACCGAGTCCAGCCTGAGCTCCCGCCCGCGGATCTCCAGCTCCGCCTGCGCCGCCGAGCGCAGCAGCGGCAGCTCCACCGTCACCACCAGCTCCCGCGGCACCGGGCTGGGCGCCGAGTCGCGGCTGTGCCGGTAGTCCTGCAGGTCCACGTAGGAGCGGTAGCGGATGCTCCAGCGCGGCGTGGTGGGGCCGGCGGGCGGGGCGGCTCCGGCGGCGGGCGGGGCGGGGAAGGGAGGCGGCGGCGGCGAGTCCCCGTTGTCGGCCGGCGGCGGGGCGGGGTAGGGGAAGGGCGGCAGCGGGGACTCTCCGCCGTCGGGCGGCTTCGTGGCGCCGCCGGGCAGCGGGGAGCGGATGACGGGCGCCTGCGGGACGCCCTTGTAGCGGGTCCCCCGCAGCACGGCGGCGTTGGCGCGGTCCAGCCGCACCCCGCAGTGCCGCTCCACGGCGTCCAGGGCCGTGTCGCAGAGCAGGCGGCGGAACGGGGCGCTGCGGGCGGCCAGGCGCAGCGCGGCCGGGTGGAACACCACGTCGTAGAGCAGGCGGCGGCGGCCGGCGCGGCGCAGCTCCTCTCGGCCCGGCGCCAGGCTGTAAGGCAGGGCCCAGCGCTGCCCGCCGCGCTCGGCGTGGGCCCGCGGCTCCGCCAGCATCGCGTTGCTGCACACGTTGATGTAGCAGCGGCGGGAGCCCTCCTGGCTGGTCCGCAGCACGAAGCCCGGCGAGGGGTGCACGAAGCGCACTTCCACGCCCCGCTCCCGTTCCAGCGCCGCCACCTCCTCCTCGTACAGCCGGCGTTGCTCCGGGTCTGTGAGCTCCGCCGCGTACTCGGCGAACAGCGCGCGGAACTTCTCGTCGCGGAAGGCGCGTCGGAGGCGCTCAGCTTCCTCGGCGCTGAGGTCCAGGTCGTGCAGCCGCCCCGCGCCCGCCATGGCCCCGCACGGCCCGGGCGGGCTGGTGGTGGAGACACCGAGCAAGATGGCGGGCGTTGCTGTGGTAACGGTAAACAAGATGGCGAGCGTTGCTGTGGTAACGATAAACAAGATGGCGGCGCCGGGGCACTTCCGGCCAGTTGCTATGGAGACGGAAAACAACATGGCGGGCTCGCCCTCAGGGTCGAGGCCTCTCCACCCCTGAGCTCTCCATCTGAACTTGCTGAACGTTTCTCCGCCTCTCAGTGGCTTCCTGGTGGCTCTTGGCCCTCGTGCTTGTCTTCAAGCGAGGTGCTTTTCCACCATCATCTCATCTGTCTGAAAAGCACATCCTCCCCACTTGTCCTGCATCCCTGAGCTGGCACTGCCATCCCCTCAGGGAGCCTGTTCAGAAGTGCCAGTGCAGCCAGTCCTGCGGTTTGGGTTTTAAATCCTTGGCCGTCCAGTTCATGCCTCTTGTACCCACGTCCCATCGCCTACCCGATGGCCCCTCAGAGCCCAGATCCTGCTCTCCCTCTGTTCCTGCCTCTGAGCTGTTCTCAGGCCATGCCAGCACATTTGGAAGTGTCTGTGAAACACAATTCCTGGTGACAAGGGTCCTCTCTCTGTTCTACACCTGGTCTGGGCACTTTGGGGTAGTCCCAGGCTGATTCTCTGGTCTCAATGCCCACGAGTGTGTGGAGGAGGTTTTTGCTTGGTTTCATCAAAAAACAATCCCTGACTGTTTCCCACCTTCCTGACTGCTCCTTCTGCAAGATTTCCTCCTCCCAGCCTTCTCCAGAAGTTCAAAGGACCACGTCCTTGCTCATCTTACCTCTCCTATCCCTATCTGCGTAACACAATCTGCAAACAGATTAGGTACTGCCATCAAACAACACCTCACAAATCTTTTCGGGACCTTTCTCATCCAAAGACAAATCCTATTCCACATTCCCACTATCTCCTGCAGATAACCAGCTCTCAGTTCAACTAGACAAAGTTCTCCCTATCCTTAATTTCTTTTTTTAAAGACAGATCTTTCCTGTTTTATACACAGTTGCCTTTTTCTATGCTTTGCCAATTCTTGACTCTGACTCTACACTCAACTGACACCAGTGTTTTTTCCTGTAAAAGTTTATTTGTAAACAAAATTTGACATTTATTATAAAACGTCCATAATACATCGTAAAATCAAGACATCTAAAAAATAAGAGCTGGAGTTGGCTTCACATGGGCTCACTCTCTTTTTGCTGTCTTGCAGAAATTCACAGCCCCTGAAGCTTGCTGAAAATACCAAAGAAAAACAATATTTAGGGTTTTTTCCCCAAAGATAGTTCACAATACTGTTCTATGTCTTGCTCTATTAAATACTTGATAATGTTTTAAACTATTTAAAGACCTAAAGTATGGTATTTTTTATATTCAAATAAAGGTTACATGGGCTGATTCATTATTAATTCCCTTGGAAGGCTTCTGTAACAAGGCAAGAAACCATAAGACAAGATAAATCTATGTTTTTCCTATGGGGTTATACCATCGTTATTTCAAACAGGCAAATTTTCATCCATTGTAAGGCCTTTCATACTTTTAATACTTTTTGGTGTTGCAGCTGGTCTTTTTCCAGTCAGTGGAAGGCCACAGTTGGAATGAATAAGCACAGATTTAAAAATATGTGAAATCAGAGCATGAAAGTGGCTTCTGGGCTTGAAGATGATCACAAAATGAACCAAGAATTGTTCCTAAATTTAATTAAGTTACGTGACAAGCATCATCCCCAGAAACAAATCCGTTTCCCAATCAGGTTTCAATTGTTGAAAATCATACAGTACAGTCATCCTTCCTTTTACTTCTGCATTCTGCTTCCCATCATTGATATTTGTCTGCAATTTCTAAATTTATTACTTCTGGGCATTTTGGATTTCTTACCCTGCCTAAGTATGAAGCGTAAGTCAGTTAAATTGATAAAACATTCGCTTCTCTTTATGTTATCAATTTTCTGCGTTCCTCCTGACAATCAGGAAGTCAGAACACAAGGAAACGCTTCATTTTATATGAGGAAGTGAATAGATTTACCTGTCTTCAACTGTCTTGTTGGAGGGGTAGAACACCTTGAACGAAAATCCGCTTCTTGGGAACGAACCCTGGGAAGGAAAACGTACAAACCACGCTCGTGTAAGTGAAACACCGACCAGATGGGGAGAGACACGTTGGAAGGCGACCGTGGCCGCTTTTGATTTGGGGAAGGCCCCAGGGAATCTTACGGGATTGATGCAGAGGCAGTCGGTGTTGGTGACAGTGAAGGGGTCGTGTTTATCCGCCACGACGAGCACGTCTGGCACGGGATAAACCCTCAGGGAGTAGTCGTAGGCCCAGTACACGGGGCTGACGTAGAGCGGGAGCGGGGTCAGGTGGCCCTGGGACAAAATGGTCTTCACAAACTGCAAGGGAAGCAGAAATCGTCGGTTTGAACGCTTTTTTCCAAGTCAAATTCATTCCTACAGATGCCAATGCTTGTTAATAAAGAAGCTTTGAACTTGAAGATGTTTTCTTTTTTTCTTTTTTGTATCTGACTCCCTCTGATCGTTAATAATTTCTGGAGTAAAGAAGCAGCTCCCCTGCAGCACTCAGCTGCTCTTTTCATTTTTGTGTTGTGGGGTTTTTTGATACACAAAGTCCTTTCTAAAGCATATCAGGCAATATTTGAAGATATCAAAACTACTTGATCGTTCAGACTCTCCAAGAAAATCTGCTTACCTGTTCCTCCAGCCCAGGAAGTACCAACAATGCCATAAATTTCATTTTATAGATTGGGTTTTTTCCCCTCATGGCTTTCTTTACAATATTTATTTGAAGATATCAAAACTACTTGATCGTTCAGACTCTCCAAAAAAATCTACTTACCTGTTCCTCCAGCCCAGGAAGTACCAACAATGCCATAAATTTCATTTTATAGATTGTTTTTTTTTCCCCTCGTGGCTTTCCTTACAGTATTAGTTAACAACAAAATCCACACTTTAACAGTCTTTTCCCCTGAACCGAGGAAATCATTTGATTCCCAAATGATTTCGATTCCTTTCTTAGCAACAAAATTTCCTACATTTTTTTTTTAATTAAAAAAAAAACCAGTGAGAGGGCCAAAAAAGGCAGAGATAAAGTGGAGTATGCAAAAGCATCTGCAGAAAGGGTTGCAATACATAATTCTACATTTCTTTCGTGATTCCTTCCTGGAAAGGAAGCCCTCTGTGAGCACAGGGAAGCGACAGGAATGCAAATGTGCACACCAAAATCAAGGTACATCGCTGTCCACTGTGGGTTCACAAAGACACTGAGCACTGTTGTGATGAAGGAAGAAAGAGCTAAAACAAGTTTCTGAGTCAAGCAAACAAAAAAACCCCCTGTAAAATAAATAAAGCCAGGTTCCATCCATCACTGCAATGAGCCAGTACTACCTGCTTCATTCTCATCCAATTATATCAGTAAATCCCATCAGCTCCTGCTGAGGGTTCATTAACTAGAGCCATAATTTGATGTATAAAAAGCAGACTTCAAGACAAAACAAGCAGGTGAATTTTTTGAAAAGTGACATGCTGCTTTACTGCAAATGGCACTGGATAACCAATCAAATCTTCAAAAAAAATAATTTGTATTCAATTCTGCCTTTAGGAATCAATGTTTCTTGGTAGACATTCATGGTTGGTGCGCAGAAAATTGGCTGCTAGGAAGTTTTGGGTTCAAGGGCACCTGCAGTGTGACAGAATGGCTCAATACCACCTGAAAGTATCATGGTTTGAGATATTTTACTGCCAAAATGAAAAGAAAGGTAAAAATACTAAATGTATAGATCCTCCTTCCAGTCCCTCTGGGTTCCTCTTGCAATGTGTTGTGAGAATGAGGATCAGAGCACCCGAAATCCAGACCTGCTGGTCAATAAAGAGGTCAAAAATCCTGGCAAAAGGTGCTCAACACGACTCACTCACGTGGTTGGGAATGTCCATGTTGCTGCTGGGGAACCTGACACAGTTTCTGCACATTTTGTTGACCAAATCTTCACGAAAGATAATAATTTCTTGGGTGCAGTATTGAATCCTAAGTGGAAAACAGTAATGAAATTAAATGAGATGAACCTAAAAACTAGGGAGCTGCATTATAAAGTTGATCTCTCTCTAATACAGCCAAATAAAAAAGCACATTTGAATTAAAATAATATTTACCCATCTTCCCCTCATTTCCTCCAGATTCAGAAAGACATGATGCTGTTGAGCAGGATTTTTATAGCACTGTCAAACTTCTAGCTCTATTGCCTTTCATCACTGATTTATTTATGTCTTAATGCATTTAGAACTAGTTACAACTCATGCATGTGAAGAATTCTATTGGTTTGACAAATTTAAGACCAATTTTTCCAGAATTTGTAGGTTTTGAAAATTACATAGATCAGTCATTTAGTAAAATAAACAAATAAATAAAAATAGCACTTGCACCGTTACCTGCAAGGATTTGTGGTGAAAACTGAAAATGGCACCAGCTGTCTGAATTCCTGAGTAATATTTTCAGCCAGGGGAGGTCTAAAATAAATAGCAGCAGATGGATCAACAAAAATTCTTCCCTTCTTTAACTATTTAACTCCAAATGCTTGAGCAAACTGACCTTGGTAAAATAGAACCAGGACCAGGGTCTTCAGGGCCAGGGACAAACACAAATCGACTACTGCAAAAAGTGAAAAGGTATCACTTTTACACAGACTCTGGAAAGTAGGTCTAAGGATAGGAATTCAAAGATCAGGAGCCAGAAAAAAATATCCCAGGGAGAGACCTGGGCTCCCTCATTAGCAGTTTCCATGCCCCAGCTATTTCAGATAAAATCAAAGCCTCACACTGCTCCCAAAACAAACTTGCAGGCCTGTTACAAAACCAGCTCGTTATCTGATCACAGCTGGTTCACAGTGAAGAGAAAACAGGGTTATCCCTTACTACCTTGAAGTAATTAAAAGGTTTCACAAAATAAACACCATTCCCCTTTGCTCTGTACCTTTTATGAATGCTGGGGTGTTCACATATAATATCTGCAAGGGCCTTCAAAGAACCTGGAGCCAGGAAAAAATAGAACAGCCGGTTAGATAATAAACACACGTTGTATGAATCAGCCCTCCAAGTGCATTAAAAATGTGTCACTTAGAAAACAAGGGTTTATTTTCTGCTCTCTTCCTTTGTTTGCCATCATTATTTTAATTTAGTGCACATGCCTGACTGTTTACAGAGACTTCCCTACCTTTCAGTGACTGAATTTGATTTTTTCCATATGGCGCCGATGAAAAATTTCCACAGAAGAAAAAGCAGGTGGGAGGTGCAGAGGAATAACCTGGGAAAACAAGAGGATCTGTGACTATATTCCATTCACTTTGGTATCTTCCAGCACTCAGCTTCCAGCCCCTTCCATGAAAGGCAGAAACTGAAACGGCACTTCAAGCTCTGCTGCTATAAATACACATGAACTATTTTCTTGATACAGGCTGGTTTTAGCTTAAAAAGGGTGATGACAATGTACAAATGGCACTTCAAGGGAGCCCAGTCTCAACATTGTTTTTTGTGTATCCAACTGCTGACCCAGCCCAGAGAATAATACAACATGCAGTATGATAAATAACACAATTTTAAAATGTACTAGCTCCTTAAAGAGAGAAACAGCAAGTAGGCAGCAATGGATTGCTATTAACCTCCATGATCACTCTAATTCAAGGCTCTACCAATATTTAATTCATTCTTTGGCATTATAAAGCAACAGTAACTGGAATTGCCTGAGTAGTTTAAGGATCTGATGAATCCTGACAATCTCCCTAATCACCCAGAAGCACAAGGCTTCATAGCAGTGGGTGAAAGAAGAAACCTGATTCCCATCCCTAAAATAAAAATAGAAACATCTACTCAGGCATTCATCTCACATCCCAGTTACTCTCCATTTTCCTCACATGCAGGACCAGACTTGGATTTACTTCAGTGGTTTTCAGTCGGGTTGGTAAATAGAACAGAACTGCTTATGCCAGAGAAACGGCTCATCAATATTTTCCTTGCTATTCCACTCAGCTATTCCTCTTAGGTCATAATTATGAAGGTAATCACTTGCCTATTAGAATCCTGAAATAGGAAATGCAGCGTCTGCACCTTTGCCGGGTGAGTTCAGCACACGAATCTCACCGACAAGAGTCCCTTTTGTCACCTCGGCACCTGAAATCTTGGATCGGGTCCAATCCTCTGCTTCAAGGATTTGCCAGCTCTGATCCAGATACTGAACTGGTTTTGTAACTTCTGGATGAGTGTGTTAATTTGTGTCCTGTTCTCTTTAGGCGAGGAGCAGTTTTCCCACCCTTAATTTCGCGATGTTTATTTTTAAAGCAGCCACCCTCTCACACTTCCATTCTATCTGAGGCTGACAGGACAAGCTGTTCCTGAACTGCTCTGGAATACAGAGAAGCAATTCACAGATGCTTTGTTATCCCAGTGTTGTCAACATTTCTACTCACAGAATCATGGAATGGTTTAGGTGGGAAGGGATCTTAAAGCTCATCCAGTTCCAACCCCCTGCCATGGGCAGGGACACCTTCCACTAGCCCAGGTTGCTCCAAGCCCTGTCCAACCTGGCCTTGGACACTTCCAGGGATCCAGGGGCAGCCACAGCTGCTCTGGGCAACCTGTGCCAGGGCCTCACCACCCTCCCAGCCAAGAATTTCTTCCCAATATCCCATCTAACCCTGCCCTCTAGCAGTGGGAAGCAGTGCTCATCTCTCTGAAATAAGAGTTTTCTCTAAAATTAAGCCTAGGAAGAACTTTCAGGAGCAAGAGAAACGTTCTTGTCACAGCCCATAAAATGGCTACTGGCCAAAGCAATGTTAGTACTACAAATTTATGAAAACAAAGGATGAAAACAAGGTTTAGAGTCAAAGCAATTCTCACCCACCTGAAAACATCATGTGAAGCTTTTCCAGCACTTCTGCTTGGTCCAGCCACACATCAGAAAGAAACACAAACATGGCATCTTCATTTTCTTCCTCCAGCTGCTTTAGTTTGGCAGAAGCCTTTACTGACGACGAAGAAGGGCCTCCAAAGAAGTTTATGTTCCCATAGAAGGCTCTACATCATTCAGATATTCAAATTAGGATCACAGAATCCTAGAATGGTTTGGGTTGGAAGGGATCTTAAAGCTCATCTCATTCCAACCCCCTGCCATGGGGTTCCATGGCACCTTCCACTAGACCATTCTGGGATTCTGGGATTCTATGATCCACTCTTCAAGCAACAAGGAATTTGTTATTCCCATGTAACAATTCCCTAGTTTTGCAACTGAGAAGGGCTTAGATCCCAATTTCAATTAACATGCAGAGCCCAAAGGCCTTTGCAAGGGTTTTTCTGCCAACACTCCAAGCTTTAGTGCTGGTCCAAGCAGAGCAGAAAGTCCCAGAACTGCTTCCTTAAAACTGTATTTATTTTGAAGCATTTGGGGAGGAGGACAAATAACATACTTGAATGTCACAGAAATTTTAAAATACTAATGATCTTACTTAGAAACCCTGAAGAAAATAAGGAGTGAGGCTGCCAAAAGTCAGTTTTATACCTCGTGGTAGCAGAAGGCTCAGTGGGCGGAAATCCAAAAGCGTTCACATGAAAAACTTCATCCTCGTACCAACCTAAGAGATTTTGGAACAGCAAAATAACCTTTAGTCTTTCGAACAGCAGCATGTCCTAGACATTAGTCAGAGGGTTGGCAGCTGGGCTGCACAGCTATTCCCAGCCTCCATCAATCCCTCCTGTGATAGCACCAGTCCCAGAACCAGGCCACGGAAGGATCTGGCTGGAAAACAGGCTGAGCAAGAAACCAAGTGTTTTGTTAACCCCACACGCTTCTCTGGATGGATTTTGCTGCACAGCCACAAAAACAACCCCCTCAACCCAAGGGAGAATGCAGGGGAACAGGCATCATTTCTGCTGGCCCTGCCCTGAAAGAGTCCCCATCAAATGCACTTTGTCTCAAGGCCTGTCCCATCTTTTACAAGGAACAGGGTGACACTTGTCCCCACTATCGTTTGTGCTCCCAACTTCTATTCACTCTCTAAATTTTAAACACAGAACACACTAGAAAACAGGCTGAGTTGTGCATATTGCACAGAGGAACATTCCACAAACAGAAATAGCCACTTTTGTGACAGAACAAGGCTCCCAAACTGCAAAGCCCGACAACATCTTAAGGAGAAGACTCTTTAAAGCCTTTGAAGGACCAAGCTGTGCCAACACAAAGCAGCATTTTCAGACTGTTAAATCACAGTTTGGATATCCTAGTTTATCTTCCCAGTCCAGTCATAACTCCTCCAACGCTGGAGCCAGGCTGAGGCCAACCCTCAAAGCTGCTACAGGTACTCACATCCCCCCCAACACCCTGAAACCCTCAAATTCCTGCTCTCTGCCTCCAGACCCCACAAAGTAACAGGTTTATGGCCAAAAATCTCAGCCACAGACTCACTTATGGTCAAGCCTTGTCAACATGAGACTTGTCCATTCAGCCACATGTGGCAGTGACAGCCTGAACAGAATAATTTATCACAAGCTAAAAACAATCCCCTCTGCTTTACCTTCTGCCAGAACAAAGCAGGATTCAGTATATAACCCACTGTGGAACTGGTGCAGGGAGGTTAAGGAATGTATTTTTCTTAGATCAGGATTCTTAAAGTAGATTCTTTAGCCAAAAATCTTCCTTCCAGCTGGTGTAATACATTTGGATGCTACTGAAAGTTCACAGGCTGCCTGAAGAGCCTGGAAATTCCCCGGTATATGAGCAGGCAAGTCCATAAGGAGCCCAAAACCAGAAACAGGCTCTGCTTCCACTAGGAGGAATACTGACCTTGTCCTAGGAGAAAGGGCAGGGAGCTGCAGCAGCCAAGGAATTTGAAACAAAGGAGAGAAAGAGAGCGCTGCAATTATCAATATATAATTTTTAATGGTCAGTATTGATTTACTATTCAATTTAAAATTCTGCAGGTCTACAGGAAATTCCTTCAGCTCTTCCATCACAGAAAAAGGATATTGCTTTACTGAGGTCCAGCTGGACGACTCCTGTGGGGTCTTCTAGGAAATATTTCCCCTAAAAAGCAGATTTAATAAAGTAAAATATACCCAAACACATAAATGCTTCCATAAGAGGCATCTATCAGTCAGTATTTACAAATAATTTGGCTGGGTTTAATATTGTAAGCTTAGAACACACTGGCAGAACTGAAAATAATGTAGTTTATAGCAAGTGTATCTCAGCAGGTTCCCTTTGAGCTGCTGCACTTGGGACTGCTGGTGCATCCCTCCCCTAAAATCACAGTCCAAGGAAATGCCAAGTCCAAACACAGTCACTGGAAGCTCCAGCCCTTCAGGAAGGGACAAGCCTAAAAGTTCTGACTGGTTCTGTTTGCTGACATAAAGCATTACAAAATTCTGCAGTGAGAAGACAAAGACGTTTTCCCCTCTCACACTGGCACCAGCTGCTCGTGGAAAAGCCCATTGGAATGGATCCAGTGGTGAGATGTTTAGGTGCTCTCATTTTCTGACATATTGCAACTCACAAATAAAAGGAGGAAGGAGCTCACCTCCTTAAGCTGAGTGATCATCCCAAGCACAATCACTTCTCCCACTCTGGCTGTATTGCCCAGGAGAGTTTCTACGGTCTTTAGCTGGAACCAAAGGCAAAGAATCAAATCAGAACTAAATCAAACCCTCCAGGTGCCTGTTCTTAAGCAAGACAAGGCACCACTCAGCACATGTTTTACATAAATACACAAATGAGCTATGAGAGGATACAGGCTCATTAGAAAAATCAGGGGCACGTGTCTGAACGTAGCACAGTTTAGGAAAAGACTTCCAGTAAAGGCTGCCGGGATTATTTTGCTTAAAACTGGATTAAAACTGAAAAGAACACGATTTTTTTACCTGGAATTTGCTCTTGCTGTCATCAGGGTGAGCCACAATTGGTGAGGGAGTGAACAACTCGTGTCTGTGAGTCCTCTGCAGACACCAAAATTGAAGTAAGTCGGTTTAAAAACAAATGAGCAGTGTCAAAAAGCCAGTTCACTACAACCACTGTGCAAACTACTTCATAAAGTTCTTACTCTGTTTTATCCAGCCATTTTTAATTAATCAGCTCTTCTGACAAGAATTTGCTTCCAAGAAATAGATGATCTGGATAATAAGACTAAGCCTAAAAGAATGTATTCTGTGACGGTCTCTGAAATAAGTTATTTCTGACCACCAGGAGGGAAGGGAGTTTATGTGAAAGCACGAGGCAAAGAGGTGCAATAGCACAGTGTATTTTTGGAAGAGGAGGATTTAGGATAGATCCCCGAGGACAGCTCTGCTGCTCACAGAAAGGCAGTGCTTCCTGACCTGCCGCAGGATGGAGTAGCGCTCACGGAACAGCTCTGCTTTATCCCTGGCAGTCCCAAATAAACTCGGCGCAGGGAGGTCGGTCATCGACAGACTGCAAGGAGTTCAACACAGTCAAGGTTTTAAACGAAAAGGCACGTTCCAGGCACGAAAATTACTTATTGATCTAAAAGTTCCGGGAGGCTGAGAAAGCTCCAAACACTGCTGCGTGATTTAGTTACTCCACGAGGAACATTCCTGCTCTGGATCCTGTGTTCCTGCATTTCGAAGGCTACATCCATTTCCCTTCCTGCTAACTCCCAGGCCTTGAGATTTATCCTTCCACCCAAATGGGCCTCTGCAGAAATCCATTTTTTTTAAATAAAAAGCAGTTATGCCTTTTAAGTGGCCATGAACAAGAGTATTATTCCTCCAGTTTCTCCAGCCGCTCCTAATTTTTCTTTTTGTTTTAGCATTTGGAGTTCTCCTTAGAAATCCCCCAGGGCTTCAGGGAGCTGCAAGGTACAGACTAAGAAATAAATACACCCAACAGACAGACCAAATTTATTTAAAAAAAAAATTTAAACAGCCAAATGCCAGAGAAAAACAAGCCCAAGCTACATTTAGTGATGTATGTCCTCAGCCTGACTGTCTTTTTTATTCATTAGATGGCATAAACATGGTTTATGGTCTGAAACATTTACTACCTTTCTCACTCAGGCTTGAGGTGAACAGACCCAAGAGGGAAAGATTAAAAACAGACTTCAAACATTATAGAAATAGAGGCTTTTTTTTTCTTAAACCAAGAAGTAATTGAAACTTAAAATACGGAAGACTTACGGTAGAAACTTCTTCCTTTCTGCATTATAAATATAACGTGGAATGTCAAAGGCTCCAATAATGTTGAAAACATTTTCTCTGAAACAAGAATTCATTTACAGCATTACTTGAACATTATTTCCCAAGCCAAACCACTCTGTGATTCGATGAAGTGGATGAAACAAACAGTAACAAATATGTTGAATAAAATTACATCTGCTTTGTTCGCTGTCACCCTGTGTTATCACCATTTCTCCTGCATCCTTCTACTTTATATTCTGTTTCGTCCTGCATCCACTGGATACAACTGCATCTTCTAATTAAATAATTAAAGAGAGCTGTCCTTGTGATCTGTAGAGCTTTTCCCTTCAGGACACTGAGGATCTGTGCAGGCAGATTCCTCTGAAGTATAAAAAGCACCACAAAGAAAAGCCACGCTCAAACCACCTGCATCATAAAGGTTCCAACGACAAGGAGAAAAGTCAAACCCAAATTTCCTCCATCTTGAGAGGCTGTGGGATGACAGCATCCAACTGACATGCCCAGCCAACCAGTTCTTTTCATGCTTTGCATTGCAATGTCAGTACAACATAAACACTAAAGGAAACACATTCATCACCATCACAAAGTTCTCAGGAACTGCAGTAATTGCTCCACAGCTCGTTATCAGAGAGGGAAAATCAATCAGGGGTTTCAGAAAACTATACAAAAAAGCAGGAACAAGCACCACGGAGGAAAACTTCTCAAAGTGCTCTCAGACAAGAAAGGCCCGAAGATAACCTGAGATTATTTTCATCTAGAGAAAAGCATGAACAGAAGTGTTGGTTAATATTCAGCCTGTACCACACGGAACACACAACCACAGCATTTGAATTCCAGAACGTCAGATTATATATTTAGAATTCCCCGGAGGCCAATCCACGAGAACAAACCCTCTGAGGAGGAACATTACAAACCTGCACCGGGGAGACAAAAGCACAGAAGCAATTACTGCATGTGCAGCACCGCAGAAAATGCCTGACATTTATTTCCCGGGGAGAAATAAGGAGATGCACACCCACAAACCTCGAATACAACAACCCAAGTGTCACCGTACGTGGTTTCATCCGGTGCCCGGCTGCATTCCTGGACTGCTGTTTCCACCGTGGATTGTTCAGTCATGTTGGATGACACTGGAAAGAAAAAATTTCCAAGGATTGCAACAACTGCAGCCCGTGGAATGCACTGAGGAAGTGGGTCTCAAGTATTTTACAACGAATGGCTGAGTCTTGTCAGAGGAATCTATTACACAAATAAGCACGTTTTCTGTAAGCCAAGGACACACGGTGTTTACAAATGGATCTCTTAATATTGTCACCAAAAGGACACACTTGTAGCAAAAAAACACACTGTGCCCACCATTGATTCCCTAAACATGGAGAACAAGACAATTATAGTTTATGCAAAGCTGCCAAATACACTACAAATGTGTTAAGAGCGGAGCTTTCACATTCTGGAGGTTAATTCTGTTCCAGAACATTATCAGATGGATTGCTGTCATAAGGGAGTATTCCAACACAATTTTGGAGACGGGCACATTGTTGTCTTCGTGGATTTAAACTGACAATTGAAACTAAAAATATTTCTGAACACTAACAGAACAAGCATGTGCCCCTCTGGATTTAATTAGGTATAAATAGGATAGGCTGGGAAGGTTTCCTGAACTCACCTAAGGCCTGGGTTTTATTTGAGATCATATTTATATGGATTTGAATCTCCTTGGCCAAACACTGGAAGTGAGCCCATGTTTCCTAGTTCTCCTAAGCTCTGATCAGTAAACACACGTGTCAGGCATCCTCTGTCAGTCACATCCTTTAATTAAAGCTGCTACAACTCCTGTTTTGTGCTGCCAGACCCCTCAGATCACACCCCTCAGCAACCCTTTTCTGGGCTCAGATTACTGAATAAGAAGTGAATTAATTTCTCATTATTTCTTTGGGTTATTTTCTCATAAAATCCCAAAATGGTTTGGGTTGGAAAGGACCTTAAAGCCCATCCAGTGCCATC